TCACTGACAGAGTTTTTTGAGCATTTTGACTGATTTTTCAAGAGCCACAGAATAGTTTGTGCTATGACTATGTAAACACCAAACACACCAAAAGAAAGAGTAGACTCTCTTCTTTCATCAGGAAAAAAAAAGTGTTTCTACCCTATTCCGTTCTTCGACGTGTGCATAGCGAACCATTGCGTTTGTTTTTATTTGCCTACAGTCTATGCTCATCTCCCATCAAAAGTGGCACAGCTACCTAGAGGGTCAATTTGTTAGTACATACTCTGTCTAGAAGCCCATATTTACGGACAAGCTTTAGCAGATCGTCCCCCAGACACTCTCGCTGAAAAACATAAAAGACGTCTATAGACGTCTTTGGCAGTCAGCGGTTGGATTTGAATGCTCTTGGTGAACTTTAAAAGAGCTTTAAAATGTAAAATGATGAAATCTTACGTTCTTATGTAGATCTATATATGTACTATGTACTTGAATCTGAATTTGAAGAAATCCTAGTAGGTTGTAAGGTAAAAAAAATAGGGTAGGCAAGAATAAGCTTTGCTTCGGCCTATTCCTTTTTTGATAAACTGTGGGTTTGTCTATTGTTTTTTTTTCTTTTTTTCCTTTTGTTGTTTCTTATGTTTAATGTGGACAATTTACCAAAATAAAGTTATTGATTGATTGATTGATTGATCGATTGATTGATTGATTGATTGATTGATTGATTGATTGATTGATTGATTGATTGATTGATTGATTGATTGATTGAATTGACGTCTATAGACGTCTTTGGCAGCGAATGAGTTAAAAGTTTAAATTTGAGTGATCACATGACTGGCTTGCTTTCCTCCAAAGTTTAAGTTGAGCTCTAAAGCTGGTCAGTGTGGGGCTCTCCCGTATGAGCCATGGTTCTGCTCCAGGTTTCTGCCTGTTAAAGGAAGTTGTTCCTTGCCTGTGTCGCCTAGTGCTTGCTCATGGTGGGAATTGTTGGGTTTTTGTAGTTAACTTCAGAGTAGGGTCTGACCTGCTCTGTTTGGAAAGCGCTGTGAGACAACTGTTGTTGTGATGTGGCGCTATAGAAATGAAATTGAATTCAATTTAATTAATTTTAATTTTGTAATGTCATTGTCTGAACGTGTGTTTGGACTGATTTTGTATTTTGTGATTTTGTGTTGTTTGATCTTCCTGCCTCAGGACGACAGATGTAAACTAGCAATTATGTTATAATCTGGCTCATTTACAATCTGTATGAGATTATTCATTAATGTACACTGTCCTGATTAAATAAATAAATGTGCAAAGGAAGACTGTTCCGGATGTTAGCGGTTATGCCTCACCCTGTGTTTTTTCTGCTGGTGACTCACAGGAATGTGGCCGTCCTCAGAGCGGCATCCGGACCAGCAGGTTGTCAGAAAAGACAAAAAACACGCAGACACAAAAGATGTGAATCCTCCATCCATCACTCAAATCCTCCATCGTGACCGTGTTTCTTCCTGTTTGGGGCTGAAAACCAGTCGGATGCTTCCAGGAACCTGTTTGGACCCTTTAAAGCCCGATCCAAGAATAAAACAAAACAGAAAATTACTTTTTTTTTGTTCGAAGTCTTTATTTGGCCTTTTAACAAAATATGTAAAAAGAAAAAACAGAAATACATTTTTTATATAAATAATTTATTACTACGCGATAAGTCCAGATTATTTTTTTGTGTAGTCTTCTGCCCCCTGTTATCAGGTGTATCTGATTGTGTAAATTAGGATTTTGAGCAAAGTTTTTACCATTAAATTATGCAAAAGGTGGGGACTTCCGGGAAGGCAATGGAGAAGACAGACGCATAATTTTGCTGCTCCACCAGACCCACAATAAATAGCCGACAAAGTAATGAAAAGTGATAAATGAGTACTAAACTAAAAGGAAAGGGCTCAAGAGGACTGAGTTCTAGTCTAAATACGGAGAAGAAAGACATGAAGGCTGGTAGAAAAGACGACGTTACGGCAGGCTCCAAGCAACTAACGTTAGCCGAAGCTACACCGTTGAAGGCTACAGGAGATGCTAGCGGGGAAACAGTGATGCTAACGGAATTACGAAAACTGCGGCAGGAAAACACCGACTCATTTCGGGACCTGAAGGGCTCTCTACACCGGGTAGAATCATCCATGGAGGACTTAAAGCAACGAATGGAGGGGCTGGACAGAAGATTGACCCAAGCGGAGGACAGAGTAAGTGCAACGGAAGACCGAAGCATACGGCAGGAGAGAGTGCTGGGACACTTGCTAGAAAGAGAAGCTATCCTCGCGGCTAAATGTGACGATATGGAAAACAGACTCCGCCGTAATAACATCAGGCTGTATGGCATCCCAGAGGGGGGGGGGAAAGAAGATATGGTGAACTTTATCACAGACTTTCTGAGCACCTCTCTAGAGTTTCAGGAAGAAGTAGTCATTAAACTGGAAAGAGCACACAGAGCGTCAGGCACAAAACCTAACGCTGCGGCGCCCCCTAGATCCATTATAGCCCGGTTTCTGGACTTTGATGTAAAACAAAAAGTGCTGCTACAAGCTTGGAAGCAAAGAAACATAAAGTACCAAGAGCACACAATTTATTTCGACCATGACTACTCACCTGACTTGCAGAAGAAAAGGAAAAAGGTCAGAGAGGTAATAAAGAAGCTAAAAGAAAAGAACATTAAAGCCCAGTCACCATACCCAGCTAAGCTGAAACTCTTCATGAATGGGGGTACAAAACTCTTCCCCTCACTTCTAGCAGCACATTCTACATTGAAAGAGCTTGGCATTGAAACACCCCTGGAGGACAGAGAGATTTTGGAGGAGGAGTTGACAAGGGACGGATGGACAACCCAGGGAAAGAAGAGGAAGACCCAACAGCTGAACCCTGCTGAGATCAGAGCCATTATCCACGGTGACAACAGAGAGGAGAGAGCCAGTGGTCGTGAGTAAGGCCCTCATGTGAAGTCCAGAACTGGATGGAAGGTAAATAAAGACAAAACCTTGTGACGAACAATATGAAAGACAATGGACAATAATTTGTAGAAGAAAAGAAAAACTAAAATATACTTGTGTATATATTGAGTATCATTTATCATAAAACATTGGTTTAAATATACAAATTTAGGCTATAACATAATGGTTGGAAAATAAGTTACAAAACAGTGGGGAAGGGAGAAGGAGGAAAATTGGATGAAGCAAACTTTACAACCATGGCGGTGTGAGGACACTTCGGGGACGTCCTGGAGGACCACCGCCCAGGCACTTTGTGCACAACACCCAGAGAGCTTTGCCTCTCTGCCTAAAGACGATCAGGAGTGGGGACCCCCTGACTTTGTTTGTATGGTTATGCTTGGGTTCACTTCAGTTCAGGGGCAAACCACTGGGGAATTGGAAGTTCACAGTTGTTTTTCATGTTCAGGAAAACTCTTTTGTTTCTTTAATGTTTTGTGTTTCTCGGCAAACAATGTTTTCTATGTTGCTATGGCTTTAGACATTACACTTAGGTATGTTTATAAGGAAGGGAAAAAGGAGAGGGGAAAAATCCCAAAACCTTAAGCTGTAAAAATGGATACATTAACAGTTATCACATATAATATAAATGGAGTAAATAATCCAATAAAGAGAAATAAAATTTTGACCCAGCTAAAAAGGCTGAATTGTTCAATTGCAATGCTTCAGGAGACCCACCTTAATGTGACGGAACATAAAAAACTTAGAAGGGCGTGGGTAGGGCAGGTTTATAGTGCTTCATGTGAAGGGGGCAGACGGAGAGGAGTCGCCATCTTATGTCATAGATCACTAGGCTTTGCTGTAGAGAACACGTATGACGACAAAAAGGGACGCTACGTTTTGGTTGTAGGTACAATTAGAGGAGTGAGAATATCCCTCTTAAACATTTATGCGCCTAATGAAGATGATCCT